TTTAAATTTGAAGAAGCTTCACTCTTCTGGGCAGTTCTGACCTGGATTGTAGGAGCTCTTGGTTTATAGCCCAAGCCAGGGTGGCAAATGTTTGGCTGGAGTGCCATAGCCAGCTGTTTGGTTGTCCCTGAGAGCTGTGACAGGCTTGCCATCACTGGTAGGCTGCCGTCCAGCACTGCGCCAGGCCCTGGGTCCATCTTCTTGTTAGTCCCACCCTTTTCCCAAGTGGCTCCTTTCCTTCCAGTCTGAATTCTCCTTGCTCCCAGCTCCCACTCCCACTGCACTCTGTTCTTATGCTGCGCTTCTGTGCTGATAGTAATCCATTTCTGACTTTTGTAAACCCTCCAGCCCCAAGAATCTTCTCTTCTCTATGACCAACCCCACAAGGATCAGGCTAGGAATCGAGGCCAGGAGGGAATTTCATGTTGGGAGCAGTTATTTTTAAAGCTTGACTTTAGTTTTCAGTATTTTTAATTCACTTTTTTGAGCTTACTTACAGATGGAATGAAAAGGGGACACACAAGTGGTGACTTCTTTATTTTCAGGGTCCGTAGTCCTGAACTATGGGGAAAACTTTATATACCAGATACCTAGATTATTTTGTTGTGGCCCAGGTGGCTTCAAATTACTTTGCTAAATCTTTGGTGCACTTTGTAATAAAACTCCCCTTGTGACACTAATGAGCTAGACAAAAGCTCAGCTCCAAGACACACACCAAGGTCTGTCATGTCACCGCCAGAACCTTTCATCGGCCCAGAAGCCCTGTTCTAGCAGGTGGGAGCTTTTCTGAGGTTGATGCCATGCTGACCCTCTCTCTCACCACGGTGACTTCAGTTGCTGCAGCTGGTGCTGGAGTTCACTTGGTTTGTGGCGGTGTATTTTGTCCAAGTTAGGTTAGGAAACTGTACTAACCCAGACACTGAGACTAAAGCTAGAAATTGATTGCATGCACAGGGTGAGACAAGCCCTGTCCTAAATAAAGAGTACTAGAGGTAAGCCATGTGAACAGGCAGCTTCGGTCCAGAGAACACCAACCCTGAGAGAATCCCAGCAGTTGGTTGCTAGGCATAATGGGATGTCACATGACACCAGCCTACCCAGCGTATGAATACACGTGTGGCAATGGTGGTGGTTTTGTGTGTATGTGCTGGGGATGGGACTCTGGGCCTTGCAGGGGAGCGTGTTATCACTGAGTTTTATTCCCAGCCAAGACTGATTTGATGAAATATATCAACACATAGCGTTAATAATAAGTGAAAAAAATGCCCATCTGATTGAGTGACCATTTGACGGTGGATGCATTTTGCTGGTTGGGTTTGCATGCCAACCACAGTGGGAAGCCTCTGGGAGGGCACGATAGAATGGAAATGTTCAGGAGTATCCTGGCTGCCTAAATAAATCAGCGCAGATTCCAAACTCTCTTTAGATTTTTGGTCCTTTGTCCTACTTCTACCTCTGGCTGCATCCCAGGTCTCCCTGCTGCAGTAGCTCAGACGTGGCCATGCTCCAGGCTCCAGCAGGCCAGCAGGTGGCACAGGTGCATCCAGGCCCAGGGGACACAGACCATTCCAGCCTGTGGTTTTCAAACCACAGCTGAAGATTCAGGGACCTTATTTTTTATGTTACCAGACACTTTTGACCAGGTACCTTGTCCTCTTCTTAAAAATGATTCCTACACCCTCACCCCATGTCAGGTGCAGGCCAAACCCTAGGTCCAGCTCACACCCCGCCCACCGTCCTGTGTCCTCTCCTCTTCAGCCCCCTGCACATCGCCATCTGCAACCAGAAATTATCATTGCACACTGAAGCTTCATTGTCCATGCATGCCATGGATATTTCTGGAAGGTTTGGGAGTGGTGGCGGTATGGCCAAGAGAAGGGAAACCAAGTGAAGTAGGGACATGAGGACTCAGGGGAGGGGAGACCTTGCATCTGAGTGGAGCTACCAGGGACCTGGATGTGAGGCTGAGGGCATCAAGGGTCGCAGTCCATTTGTCATAGATGCTGGTTGAGGATTGCTGGCGAGAGGCTTGAAGGAGCAAATGCCAATGATAAAATTGTAATGGGAGCATTTTCTGTGTGCCCAAGCACTGTTAAAGAATGGCTTGTTTCATCTAATTTTCAGATCCACCCAAGGAGGAGACATCCTCATTTTTAAGTTTTAAAGATGAGGAAAAAGGATTTTGGAGAGATTTTGTGAATAGACTGTAGTAAGCATCCTGTTAACTTTTGGTGTTGAGAATGAATCCTGGGCAGATGAATCGAAGTCCTCTGAAGGACATTGTGCCGCCTCCAGGTTTTATGTGGAGCCAGCTGGGTACTTCCAGGAGTCCAGGCTGAATCGGGAGCCAGCATTTCCTGTCACTAGTGGGTGACTCAGGCTGTTTGGCAGAATACTTAGAATTTGAAAAAAGCGTTCTGTATGACCACAGCTGACTTACACAGCATTTTTTGCTTTTCATTTCTGTTTTGGTTACAGAGTGTAAGGACAAGTCTGATACATTCAGAGACATAGTGACTACTCTTGATGGTCTATTTTTAGAAATACCTTAAATTACCATGCAAGAATGACATTTAGCTAATTGGAACAGCAGGAGAAGCTGAAAACGAGTTAATGTGTTAGTCTTTGGTACATTAAAGCTTGGTTCATAACATCCTGAGTACACATTGTAAAATTATAGATTTTCAAACAGTGTACGTATGTGACAACCAAGGGGGCCGGGGAGATAGCTCGGTGGAAGGTCCTGAGTTTGATCCCTGGTACCACCAAAAAAAAGGTCTTCTCGTATGTGACATCTGAAACTGTGTGATAGCTATCAGAAATTCATCTGTTGGAAGCTTGCTCACTAAGAATGTATTGCTTTCTTGTGGTTGTTGCAGAACCATTTGCAGACCTGTAATGTCCTTCCTCGGGTAGAGTACTGTGCAGAACACAGACTTGTGCCAGTGGTTGAAGTTTATTCACTTCCATAATTAATGGACAATAACTTTTGCGAGTGAATTGTGTTGGAATCTTGAATCAGCAAAAAGCGACCTCTCTCCCACCCCATCTCTTGCATCTTTATATCTGTAAATGTCCCCCAGCTCCTGCATTCCAAGGGCTCCCAGCTGATAGGCACCTGTGATGAAATTTTACCTAGATGCCCAACTTCTTTTGCGCCACTGGCTAGATTAGTTTCTCTGAACTAATAAGATTTTGATCAGTTTCAAGTATAAATTTTAAGGCTATAATGTTTATTCCTCTCTACAGGGAGGGGGGAGAAGAATAAAGACAAGGTCTTGCTTCTTTTTATGCCAGTTATGACATTGTGCTCAGGGTGAATTCTCACACACACTGAGATGTACCCTCATCACCCTTTTACGAGTGAGGGGACAGCCATAAAGCTTTGAGCAATTGGAGCAAGTAAGCAGGGCCAGTATGCATGCATGGGCCATGCCGGCAAGGGTCACAGGCGTAATTTTAGACCAGGATATCTTTGAAAGTGGGGCAGAAAAGAGTGGTGCTTTTTCTCCACATTAAAATAAGAAAAATTCCTCCTATATTCTATAGAGTGGATTCATGTATGTAATTTTTTCTGATCCTGTAGAAATCAGCCTGAATTCCTAGGAACGATGATTAAAATTGAGACAGTTTTGCTTTCATGTCTTGGCCATTCGTTGAGGCCAGTGTCTTGAGTTGTGTCGTGTGGAGCTCCACATGGCAGGGCCTGGTTGTCTCTCACTGTGCTCTGGAGAAAGGGTGGGTGAGGGCCACCAGTCTGTCCTACCAGGGTGGTGGCTTGGTGCCTGGCCTGCCAAGGGGCCTAGCCTGCCACAGTCTTCATGCCCCAGATGTCAGGTTGGCTGGACCCTGGCTCTTGTGGGAGCTGAGAGGAATGAGGGGCTTCCTCTTTGAGCTCCACACTGCCCAGGTGGGAAAAGCTTCCTTTCAGAGATTTCTTATTCTCTACTGCTAGCTGTTTGACTCTGTATTTTGACTTCTTGCATTCTGTGTTGTGTTCACAGTATTTTTAGTAGTAATTTAGTAAGAGCTTAGCCCACAGAGGACCTTTAACATCATCTACGTTAGCCTCTGCCTTCCTCATTTTATAGATGAGGAGGGTGACTCATCGACGTGGAATGAGTTGTGCCAAGCCACAGCGCCGGTGGCTGGGACCAGGAGCCTGTCTCATGACTGGTCTGCGGATGTTGCTCCTGCCTCAGGATGATTTGTCGCTCTCTGTTTGCTTCCACTCTTACTTGTCTGTCCAGATGCTGGCCTGCCTCTTGCCGCCTTGATCCCTTGGCTTTGCATCTTGCTCTCACTGAGGGAGCAGTTGTTTGTTGGTATTAATCCCAGCTTTGGGATTACTGTGTAATCCCTAGTAAAGTCACTTTGGGCCTTAGTATAATTCTCTGCTTAAGGAGGACCCTAGTCCAAGAGATGCTGTTGGGAAAGTGCAAATCATGGAAACTAGTGGCTTATTTTATTATTCAGTGGAAAACTTAAACAATGAATACAAAACACAAGTAAAAATCAGCTGGTGAAGGTTTCTTGCTGAACAAGCTGAGCAAGACTCACAAGAAAATTGCTTTCAGCCAAATTATTATATAAGAGAGTTCACAGGAGAAGCCTTCTTTCTTTCTTTATTATACAGGCTACCTGCTGGATCAAATTCTGCTCTGTAGGTGGTAGTATAGAGTAATGTTTATTTCTAATCCATCGGATTTGGTGAAAACAGTTGCTTGAGTTGTTTCTATAGATCTGATCAGCAAAGTAGAATGCAGTAGTTTTCAGTGCTGGGAAGTTTTGGCATAGTAAAAAAGATGTTTTAAAATTGGAGACATAAAGTTATGTTCATTTTTGTCAGTCTGTTAAATTTAGTTTTACTGTATGTGAATGTATAAAGTATATTTAGCTAGTACATTAATTAAATAGCACCTGTGAGGTACCCACACACGGCACTCTGTCTGCGCTAGCTCCCTTCCTTCCTAATGGTTTACCCTTCCTGTTGTGTTTAGATATCTGACATCCATGTCACTGGAGAGTCAGAAGATATGTCTGCAAAAGAGCGGCTGCTGCTGTGGACGCAGCAGGCCACCGAGGGCTACGCCGGCGTGCGGTGTGAAAACTTCACCACCTGCTGGAGAGACGGAAAGCTGTTTAACGCCATCATCCATAAATACAGGTATGCTGCCCTTTATACAAAGATGAGCGGTTTCTTTCATTCCTTGATTGTAAAATAACCTTTTGCTAGCAAAGAAGCATTGTATGTGCCTGGTGGAGAATTAGCAAATGCAGATAAAGTACAGATGTCACGTGTTCACTGCTGAGAGATCAGCGCTGCAGACTTCAGTGCTCGTGCGCGCCTGCACGCCTGCCTTCTCTTTCGCTCTGTGTCTCTCTTTGTCTCTGTCTCTGTCTCTGTCTCTGTCTCTGTCTCTGTCTCTGTCTGTCCCCCTCTGCTCCCCATAACTGTAGTATGTTTTTGGATTTCGACAGTGACAGAATGCAGTAAACTCTGATGTATAGAATCTAGGTAGGTGACCTAGATTGCAGATCACAACTTTCCAAATCATGTTACCTGGTCGTGTTGTTACAGTGAGTGGCTGGGCTTACACTGACCGGTTTGGAGTAGTGAGCAGCTTTTTGGTGAGAATTAATAGCTAACGCCACACTTAAAGCTGCACAAAGCACTTACTGCCAGATAATACTCTGTGCACTTACACACGTTGATGCAATCTGCACAGCACACTATTGTCATCCTAATACAGTAACTGAGGCAGAGTAAATATTTGCTGTCTCATACCCAAAAGTAGTAGGCTTGGGGATCTGAATGCAGGCAGGCTGATGCTTGCGTCTGTGCTTCTCTTGCTTTGTAAGAAACTAAATCTAGGGCTGGCCAAGTAGCTCGGGATTGAAGTGCTTGCCCGCAGGCACAGGGGCCAGGGGTTCGATCTCTGGCTTGCCGTGCTGGCCTCGCCCCCGGGGCATGCTGAGATGGCAATTGAGACTGAGTGTGGTAGTGCGCACCTGTAATCCCAGCTCTTGGGAGGCTGTAAACAGGAGAATCACTACGAGTCTGATCTAGCAGTGAGACTCTGAAAACTCTGTAGGTGCTTCCCTAAAATACAAAAAAAAGAAAAGAGAAAGAAAGAAAGAAGAAACTAAATCCAAGAAAGAAAGAAAAAATTAATTTTTCAGGGCCAGGAATATAGCTCAGCAGTCATAAGTACCTGGCAAGCACAAGGTCCTGAGTTCAGTCCCTGGTACCGCAGAACAAAAACATAAACAAAAACAAACCCAACCTAAATCCACAGAAAATGTTGATTGAAAGCTCTGTATTTCTTTATGTCAGTTATTTTCCTTAATTTTACAAAGATTATATCGTACTTTTAATAAATGAATGTATTTCTAAAGAGCCTGAGCCAAAGCTATAAGCTTAACTAAATTGAGAAACTTATTTGATTATAATAAATAATTGTGTCAATTAGTTAATGGTTGGAAGCATTCTGTGAAGTTCTTTGTACGTATTCTCATTCAAATCCAGCAGTTCCACAGAGCAAGATCTGTTAGCACTCTAGTTTTGTAGATGAAGAGCCCGGGGCTTACCAGAGTCACAGTGGCAATAAGTTACAGCCAGGATTCAGGCCCAGCTCCGTTGGAATTGAATCCCACTCTTCTCTCCACTTCTCCTTTGCCTGCCTTGCCTCCTCTCCTCCCTTTCACTCCTCCCTTCTTTCGCCTCTTTTCTTTCCCCTTCATCTCTCTCTTCCTTGTTAGTTTGAAAATTTTAGCATTTACAAAATAGTAGTGAATCCTTCCCGTAACCATACCCAGGCGTGTTCCTATTTTTAAATACTACTACAGCCTTTTTCCTTTATGGAACAATATTTAAATAGAGGGGGTGGTGGGTTGTTGCATTAAAAAAAATCAGCCTGCCTGTACTAGGGCAAAATAAAGCATCAGATCTCCTTGAGTAACAAGCAGTGCTCACAGTTAATGGCGATGGACACTGCTGTTGTCAAGACTGTCCTTCCCTGGTGGCTCCGAACGGGAGGCTGTGGAGCTGGGTGCGTTCCGTACAGGGACAGGGACGTCACTGAGGCCAGTGAAGAAGATTTTCATTGTGGTAGCTTATGTCGTGGCATGTCTTCAGAGGGCGTTTTGTTTGGTGTTTGAAACTTTCTAGGTTTCAATCAGTTTTGGAAGCCAGTTGTTTTTCTAAAGTAATGTGCTTTTAACATCAGTGGTCTCTGAACAGTACTTATGAGGAATTAAAAGAACAAATTGGCATATGGAGGCTGTGTATTTTTTTGCTAAGCACTTAAATAAGTCATTGTGTATGGTGTTAAAGAACCTGGCATTTCTTAGGAATGTTTCATGTTGCTGAGCTCTTGTTGCTTTTGGTGAGCATTTTAACCTTGTAAATGTTATGTGTTTGAACTTTTAATTTGGCATAATGATCATTTTAGAAAACTGGTTAGCTTTTTAACTTTGAATTTCAATTTCCCTAGTTTGCTTTTTTTGGGGGGTGAGAAGTTGTGGAAAAAATACTATATATCAGGCTTATTGCATACATTTGTTGCTGAGGTTTTGTATCTGATAAAATATCATCTTGGTTTCTTTCAGTAGAAGAAACCTTTCATTGGTAGAACTTTAAAAAAAAAAATCTTTATTTTTCTTATTAAGACAAGTACTTTTCTTCCAGCATGTGGAAGAGTTGGTTGGCTAAGGTAGAAATGAACTTATTTTCTGCTGTTGAATGACTTGATTTCCTCTAAAGACAAAGTTATGAGCAAGCTGTTTCCACGAGTAGGTTTTGGGCTGTTGGGCAGCATTAATTACACAGAGAGAGTCGTATCTTGTCTCCTTGAGTTGTTTTTGCATAACAGGCATTCCCATAAGTTTGTGGTGATTTGAATTTGCTGTGGGGACAAATCTATTTAATTGGGCTTTGTTTTTGTATTTATTTAGATAAAAAGTTTATTGTTTATATAAACTTTGTCTTCTGAAATTATGGACTTAATCTGGCTACTGTAATAAAAATGAGCTGAGGTGATTGGTGGATCTGATTTCTGTGTGGGATGCTTGATGGGGAGGCATCAAGGAGCACCAGGGCTTGGCAGGAGGGAGCGTTGGTGGATGCAGAGGCCCCAGATCCTAGACAGACTAGGCAACATGGGTCCAGAGATGTAAAAATAAGCCAGGGCTAGGCATGGTGACACACACCTATAATCCCAGCACTCTAGGAGGCTGAGACAGGAAGATTGAAATTTCACTCTAGGCTGCGTACTTTAGTGACTTAGCAAGACTTGTCTCAAAATAACATACTGGGGGGAAAAAGGCCTGAGGATTCAGCTCAGTGCAGAGGCCTTGGGTTCAATCCTCAGTACTGTAAAGTAGACCAGTATTAGTTCTAATGAATGTGTATGTAATGTCTTCTAAAGATTTTGGAAATACTGAAATACTGATTTGATATAAGAACAGAGTAATGGCATCCTTTAGATTTTATATTAATGTAAATTATACTAACAGTGGTTAGCAGTAGTTACTAGTCAGCAGTTACTAATTTGGATTGCCTAGCACATTTTTATTAGTATTGTTACATAAACCATGACTTGAAAATTGTTAATTTTACCATAGAAACTAAATTTTTCTCTTCAAAGAAGATTTATATGGGCCAGCGAAAGAGCTCAGTGGATTAAAGTGCCTGGTTAGGTAGAGTGTAGCGGCTGGGGTCTGATCCCTGGTGTGCCATGCCGACCCTGCCCCCGAGGCTCGCTGAGACAGGAATTGATACTGGTGGCATACTCCTGCAATCCCAGCTCTTGGGATTCTAAACACAGGTGGATCACTACAAGTCCGATCATGCCAGGGAGATAGCTCAGTAGAATATGTGCGTGCCTGGCAAGTTTAAGGTCCTGAGTTCAATCCCTGGTACTGAAAAAAAAAAGGCAAACTACTAGTCAGATCTGTGTAGTGAGACCCTATAAACCCTGTAGATCCTTACTAAAACACACAAAAATGAACTATTACATAAAATAAAAGTAATAAGTCTATATAATAAGTAATTCCTAGCTATCATAGAATTAAAATGATCTGTGAAGCAAAAATAAAGTAACAAAAATAAAGTAAAGGTGAGTGTCCAAGAGATATATGCAGAATTTTGGGGCCATGCAGATGTTTTAATTTTGGCTTTAATTTATTTTATATATTTTGAGACAGAATCTTGCTGTGTAGTTTGGGCTGGCCTTGAACTGCCTAGCTAGCCCAGGTTGGCCCCAGACTTGCCATAATCCCCCTGCCTCAGCCTCCTAAGTCTGCAGTTACCATCTTGGGGAACCAAATGTAGGCTGTCCCAGGTTTTTTTTTTTTTTTTTTTTTTCCTACCGGGGATTGAACTCAGATCCTTGCGTTTGCCAGTCAGCCGCTTATCCTGCTGAGCCGTCTCCCCGGCCCTGTCCCAGCTTTTGAAACTATATACTTGCTTTCAAAATTATCTGAGTTCTCTGAAATACTAGATTGTATCTCTTTTTATTAATGAAGAAATAGAATCTCAGAGGGTTACTACCCACCTTCAAAGCAGTGGAACAGTTGCTCTGGATCCTCAGAACTTCATATCTTTTCCTGTAATTATCCTTAGATACTTTCTGTTAGGCAGATTTGATTTCAAGAAATGGAATGGTTTGATATGTGGCGGGGATAAATATAACTCTCAACCTGTTGGCTGTCAAATATGCTGAGTTTATGTTCTCCAAGGTCAAAGAATGAATCCTAAGAAACAGTGGAAATTAAGAGGAAGAAAAAATGTATTGAAATAACTCCTGAGAGGACCAGGAAGTGAGTTGCCAGTGAGCCCACTTTGTTTTTTTTTTTTTTTTTTTTTTTTTTTTTATTCATTTACGGATCTACACAGTGATCAGGGTCTCACTACTAGATCAGACTTGTAGTGATCCACCTGTTTACAGCCTCCCAAGTGTTGGGATTACAGACATGTGCCACCACGCCCAGTCTCAGTTGCCATATCATTGTGCCCCGGGGGTGGGGCCATCACAGCAGGCCCAGGGATCGAACCCCCAGCTCCTGCTGCTGAGCTATTTGGCTGGCCCAAGCCCACTTCTTAAAAGAAGCTTTATAGAACAAAATCACAAGGTGGTACAATGTGGGGTCAAAACTATGATCAGC